TTTGATGAATGAATGAGGGAATCCTTTGGGTATAACACAGTGGAGAGCTATGCTTTCTTGCCTGGAGTAGCATACAGAGGGCCCTAGGGAAGAAGTGAAGGTGTCAGGTGGGTGTCTGTCTGATTGTTGAGAAATGGGGAAGTGTCCTAGCACTGGGACCCCTCCTGGAGGGGAGTGCAGGTCTGCCTTGAGCATTGTTCCTGGCAGGTCAGTGAGAGTCTCTCAAACAGATTCTTCTCCAGGGCTGTCAGTATTGGGCAGGCTCAGACAGGCTGCTGCCCTGCTCCCTGCCCCACTGTGTGGTGTTCATTCACCCCCGACTTGTACCATGACCTTCTCCTGCCTTCTCATCCTTTTCCCATAGGTACCAGAATTGATTCCACAAACTGCCTTTGAGCCTCCAGTGTGAGTTAGAACTTGTACCAGAAGCCCACTTGGGTTGCCTCAAGCTAGGGAGAGAATTTATCCTTATACTGAGGGTCTTGTGGGGCCTAATAGCAGCCAGTCTTGAAAGAGGGACTAGAACTAGACAAAGTGCAGACATCTCCCCTCTGCTATCTCCCTGAGACCCACCCTCTCTTCACTCACTCTTTTCCAGGCCAAGAGGCCAAGCCTGAAGAAGCCCACGGCTTCTGATTTACACCTCAGTGTCCAGCCCTGAGGATGAGTCAGGATCCAGGGAAAAGGCTGATTGGCTGCGCTCTGCCAGTACCCACTTCTGGACCAGTCAGCTGTAGATTGAGAGTGGCCGATGGTTGCACAAAAGGCTGCTGTGCCTCAGCACTTTGAAAAGAAAGTTTCCAGCCCTGGCCAGTTTGGCTCAGCAGTTGGACCGTCGGCCTGCGGACCAGAGAGTCCCTGGTTCAGTTCCCGCTAGGGGCATGTCAAAAAAAAAAAGAGTGAAAAGAAAGTTTCCAGAGAGGGGCCAGCAGACCATAGGAGTGCTGGGTGGGGCACATGGACATGCTTAACAGGTACTGCCTATTGTCAGAGCTCCCCGCACCCTGCCAGGGTTACACAACGGGCCTGTGGCTCTCTGTACCTGAGAGGCAGGTTGTCCATGCTGAAACTATGCAGAAACAGCACTTTCTCCTTCTTTCCCTCCTCCCTCCCCTGCCATCCCTTCTTCCCCAAACTTCAAGCTCTTACTCCTTCACCTATGGGCCTGTCCTGCTCTGTCCTGCTGTCCACGTGAGGGAGGCCTGGAGAGGGGTTGAGAAAAAAATTAGATGGGCCTGCTTAAGTCTTTTCTGGGTACAAATGATAGAAATGCCTTGAACTAATGTAAGCAAAAGATTCCCTCCAGGAGGGCAGAGCAAAGCGCAGGGCAGCTGCCAGTTTGGGAGCCCAGCCTCAGGGCCTGCTGAGGTTTGGAGGTTGGAATCCTGATTCCATCTTACACATTGTGTGGCTTGCCTGTCTATTCAACTTCTCTGTGCTGCAGTTTCCTCATTTGTAAATGCAGAGAATAGCCCGTTTCATAGGATTGTTTGAATTACAGTGTTGTGATGATTTCACGGATGCAATGCCTGACTGTATAGTAGATGCCCAGTAAATGTTAATTGTTGGTTTATTTAGTCCAGACAAGTGGAGGGTAGCTCTCACTTCTGTGAGGACACTAGTTTGTTTAGTCTCAAGTCAACTTTGTTAGGTGACTAAATCTATTGTCCCCATTTAATCGAAAAGGAAACTGTCTTCTCCAGTCCCCCAGATCTGGAACCTCAGTTTGGAATCAACCCTGTGCCTCGCCCTGCCCACTGCTGCCCCCTTGTGGCAGTGCCAGCACACTGGGCGGCTGCTTTGCCTCCCCTTTTCCTGGTTACTTCCATCAAGGCCCAGTTGCCCAGGCCTAGAGGATGGAAGGAGAGCCCATAACCCTGAATTTGGAAACCTTGAGAAGTGGTTAGAGGAGGAGCTGAAGCTCAGTTCTCAGCTTTGATTTGAGAGAGAGAGAAACATTGATTTGTTGTTCCACTTATCCATGCATTCATTGGTTGATTCTTGTATGTGCCTTGACTGGGGATCAAACCTGTAACATTGGTGCATCAGGATGGTGCTCTAACCAACCGAGTTGCCTGGGCAGGGCCAGTTCTCAGCTTTGGAATAGGTGTTGTGGGATACTGGCAACATTCTGTCCCGGAACTGTCCTAGGAGAGATGCCGGGCAGACCACCAGATGTCACCCACTGGTCTTTCTTTTCTTGAAAGCATCTGGAACAGTGCTCCTCCGCTTTGGCAGCACATGGGAATCACCTGGGGAGCTTTAAAAAACCCTGCATCTGAACTGTTCACCCGCTGCTAGGGGTCACCAGGCAGTCATGGTTTTAAAGCTCCATGGTGATCCCAGCGTGAGAGTCCCAGGTAAAGACTGCAGCTCTAGACCACCATTTCCGTTGTCACCTCCCTCCTCCCTTTGGCCTCCAAAGTTGGCCTTCACTCTGGCCCCTACCATGCCAGGCCCTCCAGGAGCCTTTGATGACCATGGCCTCCTCACCGGGCTCCTTCTCCTCGGTGCCCGTCACCCCACTTTTGCTTCTCTGCCTTCTCCATCCCTTCATGTCTAGCATCTCTGCCTCTTTGATGCTGCAGCTGTTTCCCCTGCCTTCTCAGCTCATTTCCTGGCCAGGGGCTTTAATCAAATGCTGGTGGGCGTGTCCAGCCTGGACGTGTCATGAGCCCCAGCCCCGTAATCACATCTCCCAGCTGGAAATGGGCTGGTCATTCCCCTGTCCTTTCTCACCTGATTCTTCTTAGCAAGAGTCTCTTGCCTTCTACCAAGGTCCCAAGCCTGAAGTCAAGACCCTTTGCCATTCCCTCCCTGCCCATACCCCCTCCATCCTGTGCATGGTCAGTCGAGCGTAGTGGCCTATGTCACTTTCAGCCCTTTCCATGGGCCTGGCAGGGATGCCTCAAACCGTACATAAGCAGATGGACCTGGCCCTGAGTCATTCTGTCTGCCCCAGTCCTCCCCTTTCTTCATCTCCCACTCAGAGGGACAGTCCTAAAATGCAAATGATACAGCTGTTCCCCCCTCCAGTGAAGCCATGATGGAGCCCCTGCTTCTTCACCACCCACCATTTCCCATCACACTCACCCTTGGGTCCAGGCTCAGCAAGAAATGAAGTCTAGGAATCAGAAGGTGTGAACCCTGGGGGTTGTAAATGCATTTGCCCAAAGTGACAGGTGACACTCATTTCTCGGGCAGACAGGCTTAGGCAATCGGAAGTGGTGAGGTTAATGGAGAACTAGAGACCAGGGGTTTCCTCTACACTGATTTTATTCGGTCTAAGGCCTTCCTTTTTCTGACACTCAGCTCCCCTCTTCCAACCTCCTCTGTCTCTCGTCTCCTTCAGAGCCTCCTTCTCTTGCTTCTTCATCAGCCTTGGTCATCTGAGCCTCCGTTGCCTCCTCTGTAAAGTGGGGATAATGAAAGCATTTGCTGTGCCAGGACATTGTGGGAATTCCTTAGGGCCCTGGCATAATGTCTGTGCACTAATCCAGGTGGCAGACCGCGGACGAGAGTGGCTTGGGCCAAATGGCAGCCGTGGAAGCAGCGAGAAGTTGGGCTCCAGTCTGTCACTTGCCTCCACCTCTGTAACGCTCCCTACACCCCCAAGTTGTTGTCACTAATCCATCTGCTTTTTTGTTGTTGTTATTCTCACCCGAGGATATTTTTACATTGATTTTTGTTTTTTTAGATTGGAAGGGAGGGAGAGAGAGAAACATAGATGTAAGAGAGGCACATCAATTGGCTGCCTCTGCACAACCCCAACCAGGGCCAGGGATTGAACCTGCAACCCAAGTACATGCCCTTTACTGGAAATCGAACCTGCAACCCTTCAGTCTGCAGGCCAGTACTCCAACCACTGAGCCAAGCCAGCCAGGGCTAATCCATCTTAAAAGCCCAACTCAAATCTGAGCCTGGGCAGAAGTAACCTTCCTTCTTTACCCTGCCAGAGGTCTGTGTGTTTGCTGCTCTTACAATACAGCACAGTGTAGATGCAGTGAGCATTCCTGGAGAGCTTACTATGTGCAGAGCTACATTCAGAGCACTTGCAAGTAGTAACTCATTTAATTCCCATAAAATCCCGGGAGGTCGGTACTATTATCCCTTCACAGATGAGGATCAGAGGCATAGAGAGATCAGGTGATTTGCCCAAGGTCACACAGATGACAAAGGATTTGATTCCAGTTTAGTGCCAAGTTCATTCTTTTAATTACTCAATGTGCTGCTTCACTGTTAGGAGAGTGGTGATGATAATGTAATAAGAATCAAGCTGGCTTTTACTGAGAGCTCACTCTGTGCCAGGTGCTCTGCTGAGTACTGGACATGGGTTAATAGTTAAACCTCGCCACGTCCGCAATGCTGTCACAAGTGGGTTTGCATCTTATTTCTCACAGATCTAGAGGCCAGAAGTCCAAGATCAAGGTGTCTTCAGGCATTTCCTCTGAGGCCTCTCTCCCTGGCTTCTAGTTGGCTTCATCTCCCTGTGCCTTCACATGACTTTCCTTCCCTCTGTACATGCCTGTGTCCTAATCTCTTCTCATGAGGACACCCATCACTGGATTAGAGCCCACCACAAGGACCTCATTTTACCATAATTACTCTTTAGCAGCCCAATCTCCAAATGGTCACATGCTGAGGTGTTAATAATCTGGGAGGAGGACACAATTCAGACCTTAACACCCAGGGTCTCAAACTCAAATGCTGATGGGGCAGACAAGTAACATAGATGAATGAATTGGGTTGGAAAAAAAGTGGCTCCTTCATTCTTTTATTTTCCCATGCAGGGGAGTGGCAGAAGCAACTAATTTGGGAAAATTGAAACCATTGTGCAGATCAGTTTATAACCTCCTCTCTGCCTAGGGCATCCACCTTGAGCCAGCAGATGAGGCCTCCCTCAGCTCAGCCTGGGGGTGCCATGCTTTTCCTGCAGGGACAGGAAGCTGGAGGTGGAGGGCTGGGCTCTCACCTCCCCACCCCCATGGTTGACTCTGCAGGAAGGCGACGCACTGGGTGCCATGGAGAAGCTGTGCCGGCAACTGACATACCATCTCAGCCCCCACTCCCAGTGGAGGCGGCACAGGGGGCTGGTGAAGAGGAAGCCGCAGGCCTGGTGAGTCATGGTCACCTGAAGTGGGTCTGCCCTGTCCCCCAGCCCAGCCGCCTTCTACAAGGGCAGACCAAAGACAGTCTATGTCAGGCTGGGTGTGTGACACACAGCGCCCCCTCCCAGGGCAGTGAGGTGAAGGGAAGAGCTAGACCAGAGGATGTAGCTTGGAAGGCTGCCTGAAGGAGGTGGGATTGAAAAAGAATTTAGTGGTGGGGAAAAGCAGCCAGGCAGGAGTGCATACAGGTGGGCACAAGCCATGGCAGACATTGGAGGCAGGGCCCTGGGCTGTGGGGTGGGAGCTGGGTCCTTCTGATGGAAGGGTGGGGAGGGGGACATGAGTTTCCAATTCCAGGTGCACTGAACATGAGCATGTTCAGTGAATTCCCTAGGTCTCCTGGTTACCCCCTAGGGAGACCCAGACCCCAGGAATATCCCTGGTCCATGCAGCAGTGAGGACCTTCAGGGTTTGTGTGGGTCCCTTGAGATTGGAGAGGCCACATGGGACACAGAACCTGGGGGTTATGACAGGAAGTGGGTGGAGGGGAGCCTGAAAGGAAGACTTTCTGGAAGAGGAAGCAGCCGTCTTATAAATGGCCATGGGGGCAGAGCACCTTGCATTCTGAAAGACAGGCCGAGCTCGATGCTGCTGTGGGCTCGTCCTTCCAGGTCCTGCAGCTGGGAGAGCAAGGACAGCCCCCACTAAGAAGACAGTGCTCTGGTTCCTTTGCCTTCTGGACAACCCCACTCCCAAGCTGGGGGAGATGGATCCTGGGGAGCCTTGCTAAGTGGAGGAAGTGAGGCTCCCACTAGGCTGAGGGCAGGGGCCATATATGAGGACGGAATAGGACAGTAAAACCCATGGCACCTGGAATGCCTGGAGACTTTGTGAACTTTAGGATTAAAAAAGCCAGAAACAAACTCTGTTGGAATCCAGGGGCCTCTTCTGCTGTCTTGCCAACACATGCCCACACACAGACACACTCTCTCTTCACCTCTCTCTCTCTCTCTCTCCATTCAGAAGCCTCACTCCCCTAAGGTGGCTTCTGGTTACATAGAGTGATATGCAAACAGGCCCTATGTGATGGGTCCTCAGCCCCTCAGTTCTCTCCCCTCCACTCTCCTTCCTGCTGGTTCACACCAAGCTCTTTCTAAGCTCAGGGCCTTTGTTTGCACTTGCACTCCCTCTGCTGGAACTCTTACCAAATTATTCTGATGGCCTGCTTTTTTTCTTTGCATGTCAGCTCAAATGTTACCTCCTCAAAGCCTTCCCTGAGTAGCCATGCCCCCCAAACTACTCTCACTTTACTCTGATTGTCCTTGGTTGTCTAGCCCCTCTCTGGCAGAATGAAAACAGGAATCTTGTCCATCTTGTTCACTACTGTGGCCTCAGTGCCTAGGGCAGCACCTGGCACCTAGTAGGACCTTAAACATTTGTTGGAGGATTGACCAAGGTAGAGGCTGTTACTACAACCAGCCCGCTGACAAGTGGCAGGGCTGGATTCAAAGCCCAGGTTCAGGCTGTTAACCACCACACATCCTATTCCCCTGGTATAATAGGCCTGCTTTATTAATGACATTGGTAAGAATTACAGCCAACACTTACATCATGCTAAACAAATACTAGGCAGTGTTCCAAGCCCTTAGATGCCATGCCTTGAGAGCTTTACCTTCAGATCCCCTGGGGCTGGGCAAGATGAGCAAACTATGGGTGGCCTTCCAACTTCAGGGGATGCCAAGATTAGGGATCCAGGTTTGCCAAGATTAGGGATCCAGGTTTGCCAAGCTCAGGCTGCTGCTGCTGCTATTAATGTATGTGGGCTGTTAACACCCCATCCCACCACCCTTCTTCAGGGTTGGGGCCTCTGGGCCTGCCTGAAATACTTGGAAATGGGGAGCTGTGGCCCAGAGCAAGGAGCAGGGGAAGAGCAAGGAATGGCAGAAGGCAGGGAGTGGAGAGCACTCAGCCTCTAGGGGTCAGCAACTCCCACTGGGCGCAGCCCCTGCACCCTCCCTGCCTGCAGTCACGCAGGGATCCCTAAGGATCCCCACCTGGTGGGGAAGATGGCCTTGAAAAAGAAAGCAGTAGAGATCTTGTATCACTCTTGTGGAAACAGGAAGCTCAGCTCAGCTCGGGTGATTAATGACAGCAAATATTTATTCATCACTCACCCAAACAAGGCAGTTTTAAATGCTTTGCATTTATTAATTTACTTCACATAATAACTCTGTAGCACTCAATCAGCTCAATTTTTCAGGAACGTGAGGCACAGAGGGGTTAAGAACCTAAGTAAAGGTCACACTGAGTAGGAAAGAGTTAAGATGCAGACCCAGGCATTGTGGCCCTAGAATGCACCCTTAGTCACTGCAGAAACACCTAGGCTTTCCCCTTGTGGTCCTTCAGGGTCTATCCAGATGAGCCCAGCCAGCCTGAGGTGTGGGACAGTGCCAGGGGACTGACTAGGGGTCCGTTTCCTCCCATCCTTGTAGCAGACTGGTACTGTGGTGGTATCACTGCTGCATTAGGACAAAAGCCCTGCTCCCCTTACCTTGCTTGTCCCTCTTCCTTTCAGCCTCAAGGCTGTCCTGGCTGGAAGCCCTCTGGACAACACAGTAGACCTGTCGGGCATCCCGCTGACCTCCCGTGACCTGGAGAGGGTGAGCAGCTATCTGCAGCGCTGTGGGGAGCAGGTGGACAGTGTGGAGCTGGGCTTCACAGGTCTCACAGATGACATGGTCCTGCAGCTGCTGCCAGCACTCAGCACCCTGCCCCGGCTCACCACACTGGCCCTCAATGGCAACCGGCTGACCCGAGCCCTACTGCGTGACCTCACGGACACCCTTAAGGACCCCAGCAAGTTCCCCAGTGTCACGTGGATTGACCTTGGCAACAATGTGGACATCTTCTCTTTGCCCCAGCCCTTCCTGCTCAGCCTGCGTAAACGCTCCCCAAAGCAGGGCCACCTACCCACTATTTTGGAGCTGGGCGAGGGCCCAGGCTATGGAGAGGAATTCCGGGATGGAATAGTGGGCCAGGAGGACCCTGGAGGGGACCTTCTGGACCCTGTCAAAGACCACGAGGGCAGGGAGACTGCAGGTCCAGCTCAGACGTGACAAAGAAGTGGGGGCCTCACCAAGGTAGTCCTTGTGGGGTAGGATAGATGAGGCAGACTAATGGCTCCTACCAGGGTGCTCAGGCCTAGGCGGCCCCACCCATGGGAAGCCAGATGATAGAATCTGGGAAAGGGGTAATACTTCTCATTGGTCCTCCATTTTACCCCTTGTCAATCTCCATCATCATTTGGCTAAGTCATCCCCAGTTCAAAAGAATCTGCCCTCAGCCTCCCCAGACTTATGGGTGGGGATGCCACAAGCTTAACCGGAGTGGTATGTTAAGAACTCTCCCCAAGAAAAGAAATGTAGTTGAGGCCCCATATCCAACCCAGGACTTTCCAATTCTACATCGCATTTGTTCTACTTGGGGGCAGCAAATTCCAGCCAAATGTATGTGACCCTGCTCAAAGCAGGTTGGCATCTTAGTACCCTAACTCGAGTGGAGGGTGGACTGGGAGCCTTGTCTCCTTGTGGACCCCTGGGCTCCTTGTAACTGACCTCCAGTCTCAGCCCTCAAACTGGATTCCAGAGGCCTGCCCATAGAACCAGCAACTACCCTTCAATGTAGAGCATCCTAGGGTGTCTGGGGCAGATGTGCATGGAAAGGCCCACTGAGAAACCCTTTACCGTAATCCCCATGCCCCCTACCAAAAAGACTACCAGACTTTAACATGAATTGTTCTAGAGTTGCTGGCAAGAACCCTTTTCCCATAAAGTACCATGAGTCCCTGAAGTAATCCTTGACATTGTGAGCACATTCCAAATCCTATTATGGAAGCTCTTGTTAAACACCCAGGACCAGAATGTTAAAAGCACTTCTTTGAACTCCTGGCAGATCTGATGTCCCAAAGACAGCTAAAAGGAAGAAAACTGAAGGTTCCCAAAAGCAAAGGTTTTCACCCACCCTTACCCTAGGCTACCAGTTTTAAAATATCCCTTCCAAATATAGTGAACCAATCTTGAGCCAGAGAAAATCATTCCAGATGCCTGAAGCTGATTTACCTCCTCAGGCCTTCAGAACGGACTAGCCTCATGCCAAGTAGGCAAAATTACAACACAGGAAGGCAGCAAGATGGGGGCTAAGCTAAGAGTCTGGCATAGTGTACAACTTTAGGAGTTACTAGAGGAAGGCCAGGCAAAGGACAGAGCCCAGAGGAACTAGGGACTGGACTCAAGTGTATGGATGAAGCCTTAAATGCTCTGGGATTTTTACCCTCAAAGTCTAAAGAAAACAGCTTAGACCATAAGGAAGTTGACGAGTGCTTAAGCACATGGACTGCTAATATTTGACAGCAGTGATCAAATTTAACTTTCTTCAAATACACATTTTAAAAACCAGTACCAAAGATCATCCTTTATTACAATGTTAGTTTATGGTAATTGCATGGATGTTAATTTCAGGAAGAAGTTTCCAGCTTAAAGAACTAGGACCCTTGCCCAACATAACAAATACAATACTAAAATATGCAGACGCTCCTTTTGAGCAAGGGACAATACTAGAAAATTCATGAATTTAATGACACCAAAGTGTTTGTCCTACAAAAAGGTTGCCAAATCCATCTGTCTATCATTGGTCCTCTCTGATTCTTAGTACAAGGTGAGACTTTCTATACCAAATATTGCAGACTAGGTTTTCGGAGTCCAAATGGATGGTGACCACTGGTCCTTGGGATTTCAAATTCTCCTGCTGCAGCATGACTGACCATCCTCTGGAAAAATAGTCTGTAAAGAAACTAAGTATCAGTCACGCTTTCTACTCCCAAACAACAGTTATTCACAGCATAGGATATCTTCAGAAAACCGTAGGTTCACCACTGCACAATCTGCCGGTAATTCCAGCTATTTTGGGTGATTTCATCATTTGATATCCTTTTGATGCAAGTTAATTTAAACAAAACTAGCTGCTCATTCTTTCTACCATAGGGGTAATCACTGTCCAGGTGAAACCCTACCTCTTCCCAGGGTGAGCTGCTGCCACCATCACCAGCTTCGAACTGCACTGCTGATCACCATTCTTCAGCACTCAAAACCTGGGGCGATGAACAAAGTACCCATAGACAGTAAGCAGATGCAGTTCTGATCATAATAGCCTTAACTACAAGAGTCCTTAAGAACTTAGTCCTAATTGGCTTCTTGGGTATTGTAACCGCCATTTAGTCAGTATTTTAAACATCACGAACCGTTTTAGAATGAGGAAAACCACATCATGGAGCAAAAAGGCAATTTGCTCAGGATTATACAGCCATAAACTAAAAAGGAACTCCTGGGTTTGCTCTGCACTGCCCCAATTCAACTTACAGCTAAGCATACTCAACCACTAACCTCACCACAGACCAAAGCTTACCTCATGGCAGACCAATGCTCCTCACTGCAGTCCTCAGCCCTTGCCAGTCCTTCATTCAATTGCAGCCTGGGTGAATATAGAAATTAAGGATCACAGTTCAGACCAACTTAACTACTGGGCACCAGCAATCCGAGGACTTGACTGCAGTCAGCCAGGAATTATCGTCAGTTATCGCTTCTGACGGCACTTCCTATTAGTGATTTCATCAGAGCAGTCAAGCTCCTCACCACTCCCAGCACTGCTCCAGACATTACATGGAATTAAATTAATGATGACTTCAACAGCCACGAAAAGTTTTAGTGGAGTACGTTTATGCATAAAGCTGCGATTTAAACAACTCAGGTTAGGGACAGCCATCTCCTAGCCATTGCAACTAAGTAGTGCAAAATAAACACGTAAAAATCACAACTGTACATTAGGCAATTCAGTGCACTTAAGGTATCTAAGTTCCACGTTAAGCCCTACCTAGAGTAGGTCTTACCCTTAGGGTGGGATGCTTCTCCCGTCTTCGGTCCTCTTCAGGGGGTCTGCCATCTGCAAAAAGATGGACATGCATTTAGGGCAGATTCTGAGTAGTTATATGCAACTAAATCGAAGTTTCGGCGACTGCGGTCAGATAAGCATGAAAATCGTCAGTTATCGCATCTGACGGCACTTCCTAATATTAGTATCATCAGGGCAGTCGCTCAGGTCTTCTTCATGGTCCCATTACAAACCACCCACGTGTAGCGCCCTTGGGTGCAGGAAGACCCCGCACTTTTACCCAGTTCTCTCGGGATTTGCTCACCCCCAACGGCGAGTCCAGGGAGAGGGGTCCCGGTCTTCGGGGAGCTCAGGCTCTGGGGAGGGCGACGGGCCTGTGGCAGAAGCACGCGCGTCCAGCCACGCGACCTCGGCAGCGTGGCGTGGCCCTGCCAGCCTCCAACACCCGGCCACAGCGCCTGCCCCAAAGCCCGCGTGGGCGCTGCCGCCTCCAGTTAAGCTTCCCGAAAACATATTCCAAAAATTAGAAAGGCACTAGCTCATTTGCCCTTGTCACCAGCTACTAGCTCCAGCTGCAAACTCAAACCACCTCAACCACAGGCCATGGTGAAAAGGTAGTGCTTGCCGCGTTCCAGGCCCTTAAGAAGTTGGGACGTCCCACTCTTCAAGAAGGGAGGGTGATAGCGGCAAAGACTCACGGGAACTTCCACCTCATTTTACAATACAGGCTCAGCACAACCAAGGACTCCCCCCTCCTATAGGACTATGGTCTCTTCCATGGTCTCGGGAATTCTGGGCCACAGGCGCGCGGCGAGTTCCAGGGCGCCTGCGCCGGAGCTGCCGCGCGATAGCTGGGAGGAGGTTCGCTTCCTGCCCCAGCGTAGCTGCGAGACTTCGAGCAAATTACTGCTGTGTGAGATTCCTTGTGCTCATCTGGGAAATGGAAAAAGCGGCCTCACACTAGGTTGTTCTAAAAATTACAGGAAGTAATGCACTTGAAACCCTGCAGAGCCTTGGCACGGCGCGCGGCGAGCATTCACAAATAGTAGTTGCTCCTGATTCTCAGAATCGTTGCCAGTGGCCCTGTTCCTACAACTATTTCAGAACATCAACGGAGCCTTTTAACCGGTGTGTGCTGATAGCTCTCCTCTCTTTAGAAAGACCTCTGCGGAGCGAGCAATCTCCCTCCCCTTCTCCTTACCTGATTTCCCGGGACTTCTCCGTCCTGTGCCTCCTCAGCAGCAATGGAAACCTCTGACTCGGTGCGAATGTTTTTCTTTTAGCATATGAACATGCTCAGGTCATTCTTTCCCATTCAAAAATAGGCAATCGTGCATACACATTGCATAAACACACATTACCCCAATGGACAGCAATTCATTTTGACTGGAGTAAATTGGAAAGGCTATATGTAGTGAGACATCACCTCTTGAGCTGGTCTTAGAAACAAGTGTAATATCTTATTGAAGGGAGAGGGGGTACTGATAGGGAACTTAAGAAGTTAAAAAAAATTAGCTTTAGACATATAGTTTATAGGTTTGGTAATTAATGCATGTAGAAAGCTATTGTTCCAGGGACTGGAATGTATGACGACCTGCCCTAAGGAGACCCAAGCAATTTGCGCTCAAGATGGTATCTGAGCCCTTGTGCTCCAGGGAGAGAATGTCCTCCACACAGGATGCAGATAACAAATAGCCGGTGAGTAAATGAAGGGATGCTCGGAAAGTCACCGGACTGCAGCTTTTATCTGATTAACCTTTTCCCCTGAATTCCAAACCCTTTACCTACACTGTTCTTTTCGTTATAGAAAGGGTTGGCTTGAGATGAGGTTTAAGGTGGTCTTTTTAGGGTACATAACCCGCTGTCTTCTCAGATCGGTGGCCATCTGAATAAAGCACTCATAAAGATTCAACCCTTGTCTCTACTGATTGGTTCTGGTAGTGACAGGCAGCACAAAGCCTGACTTTTCTGGCTTCACTTCCAGTGAGAGCTGAGTCAAAGGGTCAGACACACATGAGGTCCATCAGCCTGCATGAATAATTCAGTGAAAGTGCTAATGAGAACATGGTGGACAGCAGGGATATGGGAAAAGAGGTGTCTGGAAATGCTTGGGCAAAACCACAGAGGGCTGGGGATGCCAGCTAGTGCATCCTGTGTATATGGGGAGCCTCAAGCCTTCAGAGCACAGAGATACTATGTTTCTCTTGTGTCTTAGGAAGTCCCCTCTTGCTGCCCTGCAGAGAACAGCTTACAGGGGTATAAACTAAGCAGGCAGCCCAGTGGGGAGAGAAAGCAATAATTCCAAGTCTAAACTAAGCCAAGGAGCTGAAAGGCTTTGACAGACATCTTGGAGGTGGCTTTAAGGGGTGTCTGGAGGCTGTGGGAGAAAGAGGAGAGGTGGTTGTGCTTGCCCATGTCCACCACCACACATCTGTTATAACAGAGCCACCTTGGCCAGCTCCCTGCACCCAGGAAGAGAACATTTCAAGGCTGGGGGGCAGCAGGTAAGGGTTTCCTGTGCCCAGGTGAGGGTGGGAGCAGCCCAGCCCCAGACACAGGCTTGTGCTCACAGAGTCATGCAGATGTTGACCAGCCTAAGGACCCAGTAATTTGCCCAAATGTTTCCAGGAGAGTTAGTCATGAGAAAATATTTATTTATATTTGCCACCAAAGTTCCATAGAGCCCCAGAGCCAGCAGGTGGGGCTGGAAAGATTCCCTGACTCTGTCCTTCAGGCCTCCTTCTGCCTCCAGCTCATCAGCGAGACTCTAGGAGCTGGAGGGGCAGATGGTCTTCCTCCAAGGCACTGTCCTCCCCTGGTTGGGAGGCCAGGGCAGGGTTCTTCGAGGTGCCTGTAGATGGGATTAAGAGCACTGTGACTTGGCCCCTGGTGTGTGTGCCCAGAAGGCAGGTGCTAGGAAGCCACAACCATGAAACTTACATCATGCCCTGTGGACATCAGGGGATCCTGAAGTCCCCAGTAATCCCTTTCCCTGCCTCCCTCCTTCCACAAGCACTTCCTGAACCCCTGCCATGTGCCAGTGGCGGGCCTCCTCCCAGGAGCTTAAAGTCTCTGGAGGTGACAGGTACTCAGAGTTCACAGGAGAGAGGGGACCCAGCCCATAAGGAGGGGGCAGATTTGGACACCCAGAGCAGGAACAGCGCACCCAGCAGAGATAAGAGCCAAGGAAAACAAAGAACAAGGAGCACTATAGATGGATTGGCTGTCATGTGGAGGGAGGTGTGGAGAATGGGTTGGATGACAGCTTTGGTCCTTGGCCTTCATGCTGAAGAGTGTGGCCTTCCAGGCAGCGGGAGGCATTGTGTAGTGTGTAGTTTTTGTCTATGTAGAGGAATAGGAGGGGGATAAACCTGGAGAGAAAGAGAGGCTGCCTATGGGGTCTCAAGGACACTCAGCACCAGATGGGGGTGGCTGGGGAGCAAGAAACCCTCAAGGCCTCCCACCTGGGTGAGGAGTGGGTGGAGTTACATGTTAGCTGGTAGGATAGTCCCAAGGCTATTCCTGTTTGGGATGTCCAGTTGGAGGCCCCAGTAGGCAGTGAGGTGTGGGATTGGGGTGTGGAATGCTTGGGCCAAGATGAGGAGCAAGTTGACTTTTAGAATCCTGGCAGTGAAGTGATGGCGCAGCAAGGCTTGGAATTAAGGGCAAAGAGAGGATGGGAAGGAAACCTATGGGTTTGTGAGGGCCTTGGCCAGGGACCCAGGACCTTGGGAAACCTGTCAGCTTTGGAGCAGGAGGCCAGATGAGTCATAGGTGATGAAGGGGAGTATTGTGGGAGGGGTTGGGACCAGAGGCACAAGCAAGTGGAGTCTGTTTGAAAGAGAATGAGAAAGGAGAGGAGGAGTGCTAATGGAAAATGAGGGAAGAGCTACTGAAGATTCCAGAAAGGGTGTGCTGTGGAGAGAGCAAATTCCTGGAACAGACCTCTGGGTGAGAGGAAGGAGTCACCCTTGGTGGGAAGCAGCAGGGCGGGGGCAGGAGGGGCTCTCACCACACTAGAACGGAGAGGATGACGGTGAGGATGCAGGCCATGAGAGGTGGGCCGGGCCTAGGAAGTGGCTTCTCAGAGGGATGGGGGCTGGAGGTGGGAAGAGGCTAGGGGCTTACATAGTAGGGGAAAGCTGGGTGCTCGGGTCAGAAGGCTGACCAGGACAGGGCCAGTGCAGGCTCAGACAGATGCCAACGAAGCTATGGGCTGGGTAGGGGGCCTTCCTAACTCATTCCCCTGCTGGGTCTCCAGGCTCAGCCCAGGCCTGGCACTTGAATGGGCAAAGCATGTAATGGATTGGAACCTGCCAGGAGGAGGGCATGGGTATGAAGAGAGGGGAGGTGAGAACGGAGTGAAGGCTGGGCTGGCAAAGGCACGGACAGCCTCAGAGGTTTTCCCAGGCCAGCTAAGAGAGAGGTGCGGGGGTGGAAAGGTCAGGAGGGAGGGAGCACCACTTTAAGGGGGCAATTTATTTAAATGAGTGTAGCTGGGGAGTGGCCACAGTAGAGGTCCTACCCCAGACTCTCTATGGCTGTGTGGCCAAGCCCGCACATGCGCGCATACACACACACACACACACACACACACACACACACACACACACACACAGTCTCTCACCACAGCTACTCACCAGGGACACGGGGCCCTGATGGCTCCTCACAAACAGTAGGCAGCGTCTGCTCCCAGGCAGCCCAGTTCACTTCCTCCACCCTGAGGAAGACAGAGCAGCTCTGAGGCTGCTGGATGCCAATGATGCAGTCTGCTTTGCCCCAGGAGGGGGCCTCTGGCCCCTGAGTGAGTGGACTGAGCCGACATTCCAGTGGATTCAGGGACTACAAGGAGGATGGGGCTTCTCTGCCCCTCTCCACAGGACACTGGAGCACCCACCATTCCCTCTGACCCCTGCCTTTGCAGCTACCAGCCTACTGCTGTCTGAGCCAGGTGCCCACGAGGAGGAACAGGCATCTGTCCCTTGAGACTATTCACAGAAATCTGTGCTCCCTGAGCATCCAAAGAAGGGTTTAGATCAGGTGTGCCTTTGTGTTCCCAGATTCTGGGGCATCTGTGTGGCTACTCAACATGCCTGAGACTCTCCCTTCTCCTTGCGTAACTATTTTCTCATGAAAGTGTGTTTCTGGCTATGCCTCTATCACCAAGTTTCCTCTCTCAGTGCCTGGGCCTTCCACAGCATGGAAGACTTTGTTTTCCGAGGAAGGGTTGTAGCTGCTGTCAAGTGGGGGAGCTGGGAGAGCAGGTCAGACCAGTGCTGTAGCCTGAGGGTCCCTCTGGATTCTTGGCCTCTTAACTGTACCCGATTCCAGACAGGGTAGGTCAAGATGAAGGCAGGACCTTCAGTTTAAGCCATAGGGACAGGCAGATGGCCAGACAGAGCGCCAGGCAGTGGCAGCCCCAGGCCTGTGAGATCCACATCCCTGACCTCCTGCCCTGGGCAGCTGAGTCCCTTGGCACTCATATGCCCTGTCTTCCCCAGCAGCCCTAGGTCCTGTCCCCTGGCTTTCAGAAGAGTGAGGCTGGCCTTCACCTGCTGCCCTCCCCTGCCCATCACTCACCTGAAGCACCAGCGCTCATCGGGGCTACCATCTGGCCTAGTGCCAACTGTCAGCAGCAGACCTGCCCGCTGCTTCTTCCTCCTGCACCACCAGTAGCCATTTTCCATCTCCAGGACAGAGATGGCTTTCTGAGAACAAAGAACACATCAGACAAAGCAGCCAAGAAGATGCACTATGCACTTTACAGTAATTGCCTTAAGCAATGCCACTAGGCATGCAGATTGGAATCCAGCCCCAGTGTGTGATCACCTGTGTGGTGTTAGGCCCTCAATCCCTCTGAAACTATTTCCTTACTTACGCACTGAGGATAATGTACCTGGTGGTTTTGGGGAAGTCAGCATGTAACGAGTGCTCAGCAGTTACTTAATTACTTGCTATTGAATCATTACAGTTCCCAGAATTTCACACCACCATGTGCAGAAGTTCATTTGCTCTACTTCACACATGTGCCTGCCCACTGGTACACAAGTTAGTGGGGACAGGCCTTTGCAGGTGAGGACACGATGTCTCAGAGAAGACAAGGGCTTACCCAAGGTCAACAGTGAACTGGCAACACAGTCCAGCCTCCTGGTCAAGGCTGTCCCTACACAAACTACCCAGACCTACCCCAACCCTTCCCAGGTCAAGGAGCAGCTTTTGCTTCCTCTACTGTGGGTGGGTGTCATATCCCCCAGCTTCAGGGACCTCTAGTCCCCCAACTACCCCAAGCCGAGCCAGCCCAACATTGCATAGACTGCCTGCCTCACCCACTAAACGAACCCCACTTAACATATGAGCCCAGAGTGGGAGCTACACAAGGGCAGACTTGGTCTTGTTCTCTGCTGTGCGTTTAGAACCTAAAACTGCCCAGCCCCATAGTAGGCACTCAAGAAATACTTAATAATAATTATGATGATAGGCCAGCCAGTGTGGCTCACTGGTGAGGGTCAGCCCATGCACCAAGAGGTCACCAGTTGGATTCCCAGTCAGGGCACATGCCCAGGTTTTGGACCTGATCCCCAGTGGGGAGCATGCAGGAGGCGGCCAATTGATGCTCTCTCATCAATGTTTCTCTCTCTAAAATCAATGAAGAAAAAAATATTTTAAACAATAATAATTATGATGATAGTAACTAACACACCGAGTACCTATTTTGTGCCCGGCACTGTTCTAAGGGCTTTAGATATATGAGCTTATTCGGTTCTCACAGCAACCCTTTGAAGGAAGTAATGGATGATGGACACCCTAATCAGGGCAAGGTCACCCAGGACCCTAGATCAGCTGCAGGGGGCCAGCTCAGCTGGGTCCTGCCCACTCCTCACTGGGCCCAGAACTGGGGGAGGGGGAGGGGAGCTTCCCAGGGGCACCTGTAGCTTCCAGATGCTCCAGCTGTCAGTGGCGACGCTGTTGACAGTCTCGCTCATGAGGGCGATGAGCATGTTGAGCAGCAGGATGTAGGTGAGCAGCACATAGGCCAGCAGCAGCAGCAGCACAACCCCGCGGAAGCGCAGCTGGTCCTGGAAGGCCAGCTCGCCCATGCCAATGGTGAACTTGAAGAGCTCCAAGGAGGCGTCCAGGATGCCACTGTATGGCTCCGAGCTGCCCTCCTTGTCCTCCTGTCCTGCCCCAGACCACACTGCTTCTGTGGCATTCGAACTTTTGGGGGCCCCGGGGTCCCGGGCCTCTCGGCTCAGGCTCACCAAGGCTGCAAGAGTGTAAAGGGGGTCATCAGCCTGAGGAGACCAGCAGGAAGGCTTGAGGGTTTACAGGACAGGCAAGGGATGGGCAGGGGCCAGAGGGGAGCCTTTACCTACAGCAAAGCCGAAAAGGAAGATTAAGTAGACCAGAAGGAAGCGGAGCAGGTCCCGCAGAATAACCTAGAACACACAAACCCAGGAGATGGGGTGGGTGGCTGGGCCACTAGGCATGACCCCAGACCCCTGCCTTAGCCTTGAGCATGGATTCCTATGTACACCACACACACGCACATACACGCACATGCGCATACACAGGGCCCTGAAGAGCTACATTGAGCCAATGGGTCTTTTAAAAATCGACATCAGATCATATAATTTTCCTGCTTAAAACCCTCCAGGCTCAAAAAAGTAAACAGAGTTACCATATGATTCAGCAATTTCACATCTGGGTGTATACCCAAAAGAACTAGAAACAGGAACTCAAATAGATACTTGTACACACCAATGTTCATAGCATTATTTATAATACCAAAAGGTGGAAGCAACCCAAGTGTCCATTTATGGGTGAAGGGATAAACACAATTTGGTATGTCCATATAATGGGATACTATTCAGTCTTAAAAATGAAGGAAATTCTGCCCTGGCCGGTTTGGCTCAGTGGTCAGTGTCAGCCTGCGGTCCAGAGAGACCCGGGTTTGGTTCCCGCTAAGGGCATGTACCTCGGTTGCAGTTTGTCCCCGGCCTTGGTTAGGTCATGAGGGTGGCAACCACTCGATGTGTCCCTTTCACATTGATGTTTCTCTCTCTCTCTTCCTCCCACTCTATCTGAACAAAAAATGGAAAAATGTCCTCGGGTGAGGATTAAAAAAAAAAAAAAGGAAGGAAATTCTGACACATGTCACAACATGGATGAGCCTTGAGAACACTATGCTGAATGAAATAAGCCAGTGACAAAAGGACAAGTGCTGTATAATTCCATTTACGTGAGGTGCCTAGAATACCTCATGTAAAACTCACAGAGACAGAAAGTAGAATGGTGGTTTCCTTGGGCTTGGGGAAGGAGATAGGGGCAGAGGGTCTGTTTGGTATAATGAAAGTTCTGTCGATGAGGATGGTGACAGTTGCACAACAATGTGAATGTGCTTAATGCCACTGGATTGTACATTTAAAAATGACTAGAATGGTAAATTTTATTATGTGTATTTTACCACAATTTTAAAAAATGTTAAAGCCTCCTAGGCCTCCAGACCTCTCCCTATGGCCAGCAATACCCCACACCCCAACTTTGTCTTCCTCACTCTCCCCAGCCTCCTCAGTCTGTCTCAAGCTCTCCAACCTTGTTCTGACTCCTGGCCTTTCTTTGCTGTTCTCTTTGTCTCGACTGCTTCTTCCTTGAGTCTACGCCAAATCATTCTTCAGGTCTCAGTCGTCACCTCTTCAAAGAGGCCTTGTAGACCACCCTATCTAAAGTGCTCTCTGGTCCGGCCAGTGTGGCTCAACGGTTGAGCATCAACCCATGTACCAGGAGGTCACCGGTTTGATTCCGGGTCAGGGCACACGCCCAGGTTGTAGGCCAAATCCCCAGGGGGGCCTGCAGGAGGTGGCCAATCGATGTTCTCTCTCATCGATGTTTCTATCTTTCTCTCCCTCTCCCTTCCTCTCTCAATCAATAAAGAAAAAAAATTTAAATAAATAAAGCGCCCTCTGCCTGATCATTCTCCATCACACTGTCCTATGTATTCCCTTGATAGAAATTAGCAGTGTGTGATGTTCACATCTGTTTTCTTAGTGCCTTCACTAAGTGTCCCTTATGAAAACATGAGCTTCAAAAGAGCAAGGACTTATTTTGTTAGTGAATAAAATAGTATATTCCCAACTCTTAGAACAGGACCTGGCCCACAGTAGGTACTTCCTAAACATTTGTTGAATAAATAAATAAACGCAGACACATCCATATGCCCAGATGTCCTCGAGCACAGGCACACAGTGAGCTTGTGTGCACAGTCCCTGCTCCTTCAGTGTGCAAGGATGCATGTGCTCCCATGTGGACACTTGGAAACACACATGTGGTATTTACTTACATATGCAGAGTGCAGACCCCTGAGAGGAAGTATGTGCACCCCCACATTCAGCACGTGTCTGGGTACATGATGCACATACTCATGTTCTCCTCCACCCAGGTTAGCTGTGGAAAAAGTCACCTGCCTGCTGAGGCCAAAAGCAGTCCCACTGGAGTGTGGTGTCCAGCCCTGCCCAGGCTGGTTGCAGCCGGGCCACCCCTGCCTCTCACCTTCTGGATCATGACGCTGTAGATGCCTGTGTGCTGGAAGCCTCGTGTGTAGTAGAGCAGGTTCAGCCAGCCTAGTACCAGTGAGGACACAAGCAGAGGCAGGTACCATTCAATGGCCAGGAAGCACAGCACCTGAGACAGCACTGTGAGCAGGGCCTGGACCAGGCTGTGTGGGGGGCAAGGACAGGGTCAGCTTGCAGGCCACTTGGCAAGACCCCATTAGCCCCCACTGGCCAATGCTGACCACCACCACCTCTCCCACTGCAGTCTGATGGATGAGAAGTGCTCCACCTGTCCGGGCTAGACCCAGTCAGAGCCTGAACTCCAAGCAAGTTACTCAGTGGGCTTCAGCTCTCTCCCCTGGAACATGGGGTAACAGTAATCATACCTGACTCACAGAGCATTGGGGAGGATTCAGTGAGAAGAGATGTACAAAGAGTTTAGTCTTCACTGGTGCATAGTGAGGGCTCAGTAAATGAGCTGTAAGGATGGGAGCTTAGAGAGCCCCAAGTTGGACAGCTGGACTCATGAGTTTGGCCTACCCTCTGGTCCCAACCCCCGGAGCTTCCCAGCCCTGGGTCCTCCCCTCTAAAGTCTGCTTGGTGCCCTCTGCCACAACCACCTCTCCCAGGCCTGAGATGAAGGAGGAGGAGTGAGGCCCCACATACAAGAGGATTTCAAAGTAGCTGTCCACGAAGGAGATCCAGATGAACAGACGGCGCCTCCAGAAGTACCACAGCTGTGGGGAGGGAAGACCAGCTGTGGAATGTGCTGCTCTCTGGGCCAGAGCACAGCCCTGCTGCAGAGTCTGCTTCCTGCCTTCTGGCCATGGGGAACCTCTTTTGACTTTTCAGAGAAGCTCATGAATTTTGCTGATAACTAAGAAAGATTAGGATCCCGCTTGCAGAAAGTGCAGCCACCCACAGACATAGAGGCAATGCTGGGCCTCCTGGTGCTGTGTGGGTCCAGGTGAACTACATAGGGTAAGGGGAGAGCTCCTTGCCTTCCCTCTCCCTGGCCTGCCGGGGACCACCCTGTACTCCGGCTAACTGGATTTGGTGCCCAGGTTCCACCTCCTCTGAGAGAGTCTCAGCGCCATGGCTCATGTCTCCTGCAAGCTTGCAGCATTTTCAGCTGAAGAGGCCCTGCTGGGAGAGTTGGGCTGAGCCTCGCCTGCTCCCATGTTCTGTGTTGTCCAAGTGAGAAATGCCCCAGCCCAGGGACCTGGGACGGGGGCTTCCAGTTCAATTTCCTGCCAAGGAATAAGAGGAGCCATTTTCTACCCCATGGGCACCCTAGAAAGTATGGTGGGGAGAGTAACCAGCCTCAGTAGGTGAGGCCTTCAACTACCCGGAGGCAGTTTGGAGTGGCATCGGTTGTCAGTTTCCCGTAAGTGAAGGTACTTGGTTCACTTCTCCAAGGCTCCTCATAGCAGAGCTCCAGATTTGCTCCTGAGTGAGCTGGGAGCCTCGTGAGATGGGGGAGCGGGAGGAGCCCTCACCTGGCCTAGGAGGAGGTAGAGTCCCCCGAGCAGGAGCAGGATGTGGCCCAGCAGCAGCATGGAGTTTCCAGCTGTCACTTTCATGGGGAGGGAGGCCTGTGAAGAGACACTCAGGTAGGCCCTAGGGTCCCCTCCCAACGCCCACCCTCCGAGAGCCAGAGCTGAGGGTCCATTCTGAGCTGTGGAGAAGTCACTTGGAGCAGCAGCAGGAACATGGACCCCAGGACAGGACCCCTGGATTCCAGTCTATCGTATGGAGCAGTTGTGAGAGTGGGATCAGAAGCCAGACTACCTGGGTTCAGACCCCGTCTCCACCACTTAGAGCCTGTGTGAGCCTGGATGAGTTGCCTAACCTCTCTGTGCCTCCCTTCCCTCAACTGCAAACTGGGGACAGTGGTTCATCATCTCAGATGGTTGCTGCGAAACTGAATTAAATAATACCTGTCAATCACTTAGAATAGTTCCTCACGCATGGCGCGCACTGTTATTCCTGCGGAGCCGGCACGCGCACTGTCGCCAGCCGGGTGAAAGCTGGAGTGTGTCCCTCTAGCAGTCGGGCCTCAGCACTAGTGTTGGCAGGATATGGGTGGGCCTCCCTAGGATATGCCCTGCCCCCACCCCCGTACCCCTGCCCTGGCCCCAGCCTTGCCTTTTCCAGGGCAGGCTGGTGGTAGACAACAGCAGTGAAGGCGAACATGTAGATTAAGTAACACAGGAAGTTGAAGAAGAACCTGGGGATGAGCAGGTCCCATTTCGCCTGCAGCAGTTTGTTCAGCGGCTCCAAAACCACCATTCGGTGTCGGTGCTGGGGTGGGAATGTGAGAGTCAGGGCACGTTCAGCAGGTGCACACAGGGGACCCACTCATATGGGCTCAATGCAAGGGCTGAGGGGGAGCCCCGAGTGACCCCTCCCCTCCTGCCTCCACACCACCCTCATGGCTGGGGAGTGACGGAGGGCCTCCCCTTCCATTCCAGAGCAGGTGCTGGCCAACATGAGCACCTCAGTGGTATGATCTCCGAGTCGGGTGTGGGCCCAATGGCCAGGGTCAGGACATGCAGCCACACCCCCACTGCACAAAAATAGGGTAAGGGAGGTCCAGCAGACAGCTGAGTTTCGGACCCTGCGGGAAGTGCCCTGGCCGGCCCCTACGCACACCCTGCCCTGACAAGCTCACCGGGCTTCTGCAATGAAAGGCGATGATCTCCAGCACGGAGTTCTCCTCCCAGCTGTCCACAGAGGCCAGGTCATATAGTGACACCCGGACAGGCCCGTAGCACCACTCAGTGAACTTTCGGGAAAGGGACTGGCATGGTCCTGGGAACTCTCGCTGCAGGATGTGTCTGAAAATCTGCAGGGCGGGTCACATGAGGCTGGCCTGCTTGGCCACCTCCCAGCACTGACTGGGAGTCTGGGAAATACTCAGTACTCTGCAGAACTGCCCACTGTCTGCAGAGCTGCAGCAGACACGTGCACACGCTCTGTAAACATGGGTCCTTGTGTACATACTCTTACATACATCCATACATGCTCAGCCACAGTGTAGACATTCCCACCCACCCACATATGCCCAGGCCAGTCAGCTAGCCTGCTTCTTTTTCCCCACTCCTGCCCCTTGGCCTCTTTCACGGACTCCTCACATGGTAGAGGGAACCCCAGGTTCCTTAAAACCTGTTGAGATCAGAGGCTATCAGCTACACCTGTGTGTGCCCTTCGGCGGTCAGAGTCCAGGGCTTTCAACAGAGCAGGCAAGGTCACTAGCCAGAACAGGTTAGGAAGTAACTTGGTTTCACAAATGAGAAATGGGAGAAAGGAAGAGCCAGACTGAGGAGCAGCTTCTGTAGGCCACACAGTGGCCACACAACCATGCCTCGAGACAACAAAAGGAGGTTCCCACACCCCAGGAGCCTTGGAGGGCAGAAATAAATTAGCAATAGTTCTACTTATGTTTATTTTTATCTTAGCCTTTTAAAATGCCTGTGTTCTGTGCTGCTCTTGGGGCTTTGTAAGCTACGTGGTCATGTAACCATGAAACGAGCCCCGGCAGTAGGTGAGACAACTGGCAAGCCGTGTAGAAGAGCTAAATCGTGTCTACTCTTTAAGCCAAAATGACTTCAAAGTTTTAGGCATTAAAAATGAAACCACAAAAGTCTGGATGAAAATATGGACATGGAGCATGGGCGGGCACACACACACGGTTATAGATAACCTTGTAGAAGGATTCAGTAACGAAACTGAAGAAAAGGATAATTGCAACTTGTATAGATAAAAATGTAACAATTCTATGTAGCGAAATACCATAAAAATGTTTAATGGTGAACTGGGAGAAAATTTTGCAACTGTTAAAGAAAATGCTAACATGTTCAGTATAAAGGACCCTTACCAATCAAGATAAAGAAAACCTAACAGCAAGCCTAATAGCAGAGTAGGCAAGGATATGAAAAGATTGTCTTCTAATCAAGAAACCCAAATGACATTTTTTATAAAATCCCTGTGTTTTATTGAAACTTACGTAATTTTATTAACCGATGTCACCCAATAAATTCAATTAAAAATAAATTAAATAGAAAAAAATCTGTTTTATAATGTAATATATTAGTTCAGTAGTTCAGATATAGCTTATCAATAAACACACCTACTAGAGGTGCATGCTGAAAATGTTCTCCCTAATAGGAATGTTCAGTTGAAAAGTGGGGAGAACACTGATCTAGACCACCACCCCAGGCTTTTTCTGCATAAATCTCAGGATGAGACCTGCTGCTTCCTGGACAGGTGGGAAGAGGAAGGGGACCAGCAGCTCACCTCCATTTTGCCCTCCTTGGCAGCCAGCTTCAGGGGCGTGAGGCCCTGCAGATTGGGGATGTTCTCAAGCTGTACCGTGGGGCAGAGACGGGCCCCAGCTTGGAGGAGCCCATCGTACATGGAGATCACCAGCGCACTATTCTCAGCTGAGTTGTCTGCAATCATCACCAACGCGTGCAGGACTGTGTTGCCCAGTGAGTCGGCAGCCTGCAGGCTGGCAGGCTGGTGTGGGTTCTCCAGGAGGTAGTTCACCACATCCCACTGCTTGGTGCATGCCGCCAGAGAGAGGGGCAGCTCACCTGGGGGCCAGGGAAGCAGCATGGGCCTCAGGCCTGCCAGCTTTCACCTGCCTACTCCTCACACTCCTTGGGCAGGTCAGGCACCCTTGGGAAAGGACGGAGTGCTGCCTTGGGGTTCCCGGCCCCATTTAGGGCAGCTGTGCCTTCTCCTGTGAGCACTGGTAAAGGCCACCATGTCGGTTCTGATATAAGGGCGAGGGCAACACACTCTTTACCATCTAAGGGAGCAGAACAGGAGCCAACCACCAGGGTCCAGGCTTGGGTATGTGGCAAGCCTCCTTGGCCAGACAAGGACAAACATCTCTTAAGACAAACTGCTTCTGCAGGCAGCCTAGTGGTTAGAGGCATGGGCCTCAGGGTTAGACAGAACTGGTTTTAAGGGCCAGCTTTACCACCCATTAACCATGACAGCCCACCCTTCCACCCCTGCCCCATGCCTCAATTTAATCAAGAAAGACTCCTCACCAAAATAAAAACAAGTCCCTTGGCTTTTCTTCTGGAAGAAGTGGCCACAGGCCCGGGCATGCACGTCCGCGCCATTCTCCACCAGAAGCTTCACACACTGCAGGCTCCTCTTCTCGATGGCGATGTGCAGGGCACTGTGGCCTTGGTAGTACTCATCTGTGCACTGGGCATTGACCAGGGGCCTGGGGTTGCCAGAGTCCCGGTCGATCTGCAGCAGCGGCAGGATGCAGGCGTTGGCTCCATCCTGAAGGTTCAGCAGGGCCTTCATCAGGCATGTCTTCCCTGTGGAGCCCTCTGTGGGAGAAGGGGAGGGAAAGGGCCACGAGGGTGCTTAAACCTGGAGCAGCTGGGCTGCCTGCCAGCCTGTAGAGTGAGCCCAGGCTCCAAAGTACTGTTTGGGAGGATAAAGAAAGATGGCCACACATGACCGGTGGAAGCACAACCCTGATGTAGGGTATTAAGGCTTCAGAGGCTACCACTTCTGCCCTAGAAATTGTTCTAAGACATAATCTGTCATATGTGCAACGTTGTCTATGCGATAACATTCGAGCAGTGTTTGTTAAGTGGCTTCCCCACTTAATGGCTCTGTCTCCTCAGTCAAGTCACTTGGCCATTCTTAGGCTCAGTTTTCCTCACTGCAAAATGGGAATGTTCCAGGGTTATTGTAAGGATCAAATGGAATTATATACAAAATGCTGAGCACACAGAGGGCCTGGCACACAGTATATTGAGGCCAAAAACTACAAACAACCTAAACAACCATCAGTAAGAAATTAATGAAATTATGCTAAATCTACAAAATAGAAAACTCTGCAGTTATAAAATGGCCAAGTTGGAGGTATACATACTGCAAAGTGCTACAAGATGCAGTAAGTAGGGGAAAAGCACATTACAAATTAGTGTATATGGTGTGACCCCATTTATGCAGATATACACCTACCATATTTAACCACTTTGAAAAGGTGTATCCCAAATCATTGACAAGGGTCCAGAATGACAGACTTTTTACCCTCAGCTTTATACATTTCATCAGCATTTGAATCTTCTAGCATGCACATGCCATTTTCCTGGTCAGCCCAAACAATAAAGACATTTAGATTTTAGCAAAGAATGCCCTGACATGGGTGAAGTATGTGATATGTGTATTATATCTTAACAATGCTATTATTTAAAAGATGAAAGAAAGAAAGGATGAAAGGAAGAAAAGAAAGAAAGAGAGGGGGAAAGAGAGAGTAATCATTGAGGATGCCCACAGGTGTCTCTTTGGCCAGGAGCCAGTGAGGGGGTTGGAAGTGCAGGCGCAGCCATGATGGTGAGGTAAGCAGGAGTCCTTGGCTCTGTCAGCAGGCCCCCTGCAGCCATTCCAGCAGGAGGAGTGGCTGCTAAGAACACTCCTTAAAAAAAGAAAAGAAAAGAAAGCACCTGCCCCTCGTCTCCAGACCCTGGCCCAGGCCCACCCAGCCAGCATCTCAGCACAGCTAGCAGGAGAGTCTCTGGCCAAAGGGCAGGCTTACCTGTGTATTCTGAGTCGGTGAGGTACTTGCTGGTACGGCGCAGGTACTCTGGCAGCCCAGCCAGATCCTTGGGCACACCCCGGGCAACCACACTGAAGAGCCGGTCGCGGTCAAAGCGGTTTGGGTCCGGCTGGCTGTAGGAATGTGGTTTGTGACTGGTGTTGTACAGAAAGCCACGGGCCCCAGGAAACTCCCCATCCCAGGGAACCTGTTCAGGAAGCCCTGTGAGCACTGTATGCCCCATAGATCCAGGAGCCCCATGAGACTCTGCCTCCTAGAACAAACCAAGGAGACCTCAAGATCTCAGAGCCCCAGGAGTGGGGATGGGGGTGCTGTCCAGGGCATCTTGGTGGCTCCAGGCATCACAGATATTTCCCAGCATGGGTGCTTATCATTTTCCAGGCTCACTGTTGCACAGGGTGGATTTTAGCAGAGGAACTTGTCATGGTGCCTGAGCTAGAGTCCAGGTCAAGACAGGGCTAAAGGAGGTGCCCATAGACTGTTAGGGGCTATGTGCATGCTGGTCTTGTCAAAGGAATCAAGAAAAGCCTCTCCTCCTCTCAGACACCATTTATGGACAACTAATAAAGTAGTATCTGCACTTCAGCCCCGGGGTCAGGAATCACTACGTTCTCTTTTAGACAAACAAGAAAATAAAGTTACTTCCCCAAAGTCACACAATGCAAAACCCGGAGCTCCCATGAGGCCTGTCTAACTCCAGACTGTGACTCCTAACCCCAGAGAGACTCTGGGCAGACAGGTTTCTCAGAGACAAATGGACCCAGTACCTACCAGATGCTCACTGGAGTTTCACTGAGAAACCACGCTTCTGGGAAAGGCCCCACAGTGGCCTTACAGTTCTTCAGAATCTATCAGCGGTCTGCTGAGAGGGAAGAGGTAGGAGTACCCCTCCTGGGCATGTCACTATCCAGAGACAAGCTCATCCCTGGGCTCCTGGCACCATGACCAGCAGATATGAAGGAAGAGACAAAGGGAACTATTTGACACTATGGGGACCCTCAGGTCCTAGCTTCACAACTCCTGTTGAATGGGCTGGCCAACCAAGTAATGGTTGGCAACTATGACAGTTGGGATCAGTTGTTTTAAACCACACCCACTGACTGAAGGGGCCAGGCCCTGCCTCCTCCACACCGGAAGCTGCCTATCTGCCTGGCCTGGCCAGATACACCATCATGTGCCCAGCAGACCACGCAGCCACAATGTGACCAAGAGGGCTCTGCAGCTGACTAAGAAGCCCTGTGGGGAGTGCAGACATGGGAAGTATCTATTTAGACAAAGTACTTCCTTTCTCAGGGTGACATCAGTCTTTGGGTAGGGAAGCCCCACAAGGGCACAGATTGAGACACCAAGGCATCAAGGAGCCCATTCTGCCTGTTGGGCACGCTGCTCAGCTCCCAAAAGCCTTACACACAACCTCTCCTGCCTTGGTCCGAATCTGGCTGTGGTCCTCCAGCACAAACAGTATGGGGGCTCTGGGCTGGGAGTCATAGGAGGAAAGAAGGGGCCTGCCAGAGTCCCACCTGGACCATGTGGATTCTCCTGGTCAGACCTTGTATATCAGATGTCACACTGTGGAGATACCAGATGCACACCCCCCCCCCCACCACCACCACCACCAACATACCCACAGGGCTGGAAGTGTCACTCCTGGCAAGAGTGGGCTCACACAGTCTGAATTGGTAGAAATCACAGGAGAATCAAAGTGAAGATGACTCCTGGTAGAAGCCTAATGTCCATACTTCCAAAAGTCTGCACCCCTTGGTTGACATGTTCAGTCTTGGAGCAGAACCCAGGAATTCCTGGGACATCTTCAGATGCCCTTGACTCTCTCTTGGACTGGAGTGTGGATCCTGCTACCATCTGTCACAGGGACCATGGCAGTGAGGGCCAAGGCATAAACTGGGATGCATGGGTCAGGGGAGTACCTGGAGCTGGAAGAGTATGTTCCGAAGAAGAAGAACATGACCTCGGAAGGCAGAAGGCCAAGAACAGGGAAGGTTTGGGAAGGAGCAATGCCAGAGAGCAGAGCAGAGTGCAGCCTGTCAGGCCCAGGAGCTATCACAGCCAGACTGAGGAACCCACAGGCTGTGGGGAAGGGGCACCGGATCCACACCTGGTGCTCTGATGGAAGGGAGGGACCCCTGGGCTGAACCCCCATTTTCTGCCTCACCTGGCACCTGCTTTCTTTCGGTAGTTGAGGTTCACTTTGATCTGAGGGGAGAACTTCTTGTCCTCAGCCTGGAACTGTGACTCCATGGGGGGCGGCACATCCCCGCTGCCCAGCTTTCCTCTGTCCACATCCTCTTGGCCTCCATCAAATGTCTCCAGCCTGAAAGCAGGGGGGCTGGAAGGCGAGGTCATCCTGAAGGGTGGAGGCTGCTCTGTCTAGCCGGAACCTCTGTGGAGACAGAGATGGCAGAGGCCCCTCCTTCCTCCCAGCCCAGGTAGGGGTAGGAGGTTTGGGCTGCTGAAAGAGATTTAGAAGCTGAGTACTATTAGACCCACCCACTGTGTGGAGCTCAGCCCAACAGGGGTGGGCTGGGGCTGAGAGGAAGTAGGAAGGCCAGGGTGAGGAGAGGAAGGTGAGTTCTGCTGTGAGGATGGCACAGTGTCCTGGAATAGGGTAGGAACAGGGACCCAACAGGTTTGCCTCTCTGACTGTCTTACAGGAAGGGGCTATGATTGTCCCTGACTTTCCCTCCAGGACTTACTGACATCCAGAGGCCGCAGCCCCTGGTCTGGGGGTAACAAACATTTGCATCAACAGCACAACCTTGCTTTACCAAGACATTTTGCCTACAGGTTGATATTCACAACAGATAAAAGTGCAGTTGTGCCCTGGGCAGTTTGGCTCAGCGGTTAGAGGGTTGGCCTGCGGCCTAGAGAGACCTGGAGAGACCTGGGTTCCTTTCCCACTAAGGGCATGTACCTCAGTTACAGTTTGTTCCTGGCCCTGGCTGGGTCATGTGGGTGGTAGCTACTCGATGTGTCCCTTTCACACAGCTGTTTCTCTCTCTCTCTCTCCCTCCCTCCCACTCTATCTGAACAAAATATCAAAAAATGTCCTCGGGTGAGGATTAAAAAAAAAGTGCAGTTGTGGGCTGGGAACAGGTCACTCAATCTTTCACCACAGAAGGGGCACTCTGGGGGAAGACCGTTGGAAAACCACTGGTGTATCAAAGCCCTCGTTTTGCTGCCAGAACAACTAACACTCAAAAAGGGGAAGTGACTTTCCCAAGGTGACTAGCTATTGGCAGAGCCCAGACTAAAACCACCTCAGCCTTCCTCTTCAGTTCTCAAAGTCTTTGGGGGCCATCTATGCTTTTCGGGTTGACTCATCTCAGAAGGCATTGAATGCCACCTCTCTGTGCCTTCGGATCTCTTGGGGCCTCAGAGTGCGGAGGGCGACCCCTCCACGGCTGCCCAAGCTCCCTCTGACAGCAGGCCCCACGCGGGCTTGGAAGCTCAGCTGACAGCACCACTGAGCCTCCCAGGCGAACCGAAACCACAGCCTCCACTGCAAGAGCTACAGCGGGGAGAGGCAGGGTTGGAAGTCCCTGTGCTCCTCAGTGGGAAGAAGCAGAAAGAAAAGCAAGAATCAGAGATGGATGGGTGGGGAGACAGCAGGGTGGGAGGAGTGGGGGCAGGGAGCCGCAAGAGCACAGGAATGAGGAGAGAAGGGTGGGAAGTGGGGAGGGTGAGATGGTGGCAGGGCTGGGGGCCCACTCCGTCCAGCTTCAGGCTCCCACAGCCCTGGGGTATTTGGGTGGAGAACTTTCCCACAGAAGCAAGGGAGGCTGGGACCTGGCTGACGGCCACAAAATGCAATTTAGATGCACCATCTTTCTGCCCACCCTGGGGTGTCATTCTGGGGACAGACACCCTTTAGCCTGGCCTAGGTCCCCACCCCACCCCATTCTGCTCCCTGGCTGCCGCACAGCCCACCCTCCCAAACCTCAACAGCAAAAGCTGTCAGCGCAGCCCCTGGCCCGCGCAGCTCCCGCCCCGCGCAGCCCCTGCCCCGCGCAGCCCCACCCACCCTGGCCGGGAGGGAAGAGTCTAGGAGCCCCACGCAGACCCCGCCTCGACCGGGAAGCAAGGAGCCTACTCGGGTAACCCGCTCCAATCATTCACGGTCAGGCTCGGGGACCCCGGAACTGCCCCCCGACTTACCCGCACGGCTGAGCTGGGGCGTGAGTGCCTGGGGCGAGAGGAAGTGAAGCAGGGAGGGGCCCGGAGCGCTGACAGCCCGGAGCCTCAGCACCTCCCCAGGCTGCTCCGAGCTCCAGCTAGTGGGCCGTGGTCTCTGCGTGTTCCGCACCCGGAGCCCGCCCGGCCAGCCCGCGTGGTGGGGAGTGGGGATCAATTCCCCTGTCGGGACAGGCTAGCCATCAGGGACTGACCATCTGGACCACTGGCCACACCCTGCTGTCAGGAGGACCCGCCCTGCCTCCCCACCCCCACCACTGCTGCCTCGCCACTGAGGCCATATATGGGGGTGGGGGCTGTCAGAGACAGCCCCTGGGTGCTGGGGCCTTACCTCTGCCGGGAGCTGGTATGGGTGGGGGAGTCTTCCTCGACTACTCTGACATCTATCCCTCCCCTTCCTCACCACATGCCTCCTAAAAGCTATGTGACTCAGACTGGAAACTAGGTGACCCATCACGACAGAGAGAGCTGCTGTGGATGGTCGAGAGGAGAGGGAGAGGGTGAGGGGGGAGAGGGTGAGGGGGGAAAGGGTGAGGGGAGGAGAGGGTGAGGGGAGGAGAGGGTGAGGGGGGAAAGGGTGAGGGGAGGAGAGGGTGAGGGGAGGAGAGGGTGAGGGGAGGAGAGGGTGAGGGGGGAGAGGGTGAGGGGAGGAGAGGGTGAGGGGGGGGAGAGGGTGAGGGGGGAGAGGGTGAGGGGAGGAGAGGGTGAGGAGCTGGGAGGGAAGGAGAAGGGAGAAGCCAGAAGCTGTAGAGTGGGAGAGGAAAGGAAGGGGAGGGGAGGGGAGGGAAAGGGGTGAGGGGAAAGGAAGGGGAGGGGAGGGGAGAAGCCAGAAGCTGGAGAGGAGCTGGAGAGGAGTGGGAGAGGGGAGGCAGGAAAGAGGAGAGGGAGGGAGGGCAGTGGAAGAGGAGTAGCTCAGCCTAACACATGCCCCTAGGAATGCACTCCATCCACCCACTTAACAGTGTGAAGGGACTTCCTACCTCCTGGGGCCTCCCCCAGGCCCCTATCTAGGGGCACAGAAGACTCCAGGCTTCCATCTGGACTGCCCTGGTCTGGACTCAACCTTGTGTCTTGGGGACACAACCACCATCCAAATTGCCCTAGAATACCTCCCTCTCCCTCACCCTCCTACACACACACACACACACACACACACACACACACGACAAATTTAGCAAATTTATCTCTCTGTCTGGTTGGAGCCACTGTCATCTCTCCCCTGGGAGACTGCAACCACCTCCCAACTGGTCTTCACTCCTGCTCCACCCTCACCCTCATAATCCATTCTCTTTACAACAAGTAGGTCTTCCAAAAATGAAAACCAGATCACCTCATTCCCCAGCTTAACTGCCTCACCCCCAACCAATGGTTTCCCCGGGTGCTTAGAATAAAGTGCAGATGCCACACCACAACCTTGTACATCCTGAGTGCCCTTCTCCATCACTACCTTCATCTCTCATCGCAACCTTGTTACACTCTAGACCTTGCTATCAATATGGTCGTCACATCCACAGGTTATTTAAACTTAAATTAATTAAAATAAAATTAAACATTCAGTTCTACAGTCACATTAGCTACTTTTCAAATGTTCAATACTCAGTCACATGTGGTTGGTTAGTGACTATCATCTTGCATAGCACAGATATAGAAGTTTTCCATCATCATAGAGAATTCTGTTGGACAGCACTGTTCTAGATAGTTCTAAATATTCTGAACACATTTTAGTCTCTCTTCTGTTGCCTCTGAGCCTTTGCACAAGCTGTTCCATCTGCCAGGAACATCCCCCCACCTCTACACACACACATATACACACACACACACACACACAACCCTTGCCCCAACCAACTCCTACTCACCTGTTACCTCTCCATTTAAAACATCACTTTCCCACCTGGCCAGTGTGGCTCAATGGATTGAGCGTTGGCCCATGGACTGAAAGGTCCGGTCCCAGTTTGATTCCCAGTCAGGGCACATGCCCAGTTCGTAGGCTTGATCCCCAATAGGGAGCATGCAAGAGGCAGCCGATCCATGTTTCTCTCTCACATCAATATTTCTCTCTCTCTCTCTCGTCCTCTCTCTCTCAACAAACAAACAAACAAACCTATTTTAAAAACAATTAAAACATCACTTTCCCTGGGTAGCCTGTCCTAGACCCTGAACGGAGTAGGAAGTCCTCAACTACATGTTCCCATAACTCATTATTTATTATTGTCAACATTTATTAATTGTCTGGCTTCACTCTTTAACAATAATAAATGCCTACTGAGACTTCACTGTGTGCCAGACACTATGTTAAGTGCTTTACATTTAGCTCTCAGTAACTTCATTTCACAGATGAGGAAACTGAGGCTAGGCAAGGCCACATGGCTGGGATTCAAATCTAGAACCACATCCTTACCCACCAAGCTCTCAAAGGGGTGAGATCATGCTTTATTTTGCTGTATCCCAGCACCCAGGTGGTGCATAATAAGACTTTACTGTACTCATGGGGGAAAAAAATGAAGAATAAGTGGAGACCCTCAAGTCCTTCAGAGGCATCACCACATCAGGTGACAATGACAATTGGGCAAACAAAAGCCTCAAATGCAAAAGCAGCTGTAAAATGTCCTCAGATCAGTAGCCATCGGGAAAATCCAAAACTACTATGAGATACCACTTCACACCCACTAGGATGGCCAGAATAAATTTTTTAAAAAAGATAATTAAAAGTGTCAGTGAGGATGTGGAGAAATTGGAATTTCTCATGTACTGCTAGTGGATTGTAAAATGGTGCAGTCACTTCGGAAGAGTTTGGCTGTTCCTCCAAAGGTTAAACAGAGAGTTAGCATATGCAATTCCACTCAGGTATGTACTCAAAAGAAATGGAAACATGTCCACACAGCACTCGTACACAAATGTTTACAGCAGCATTATTCATAACAGCTGAGTGGAAAAACCCCAAATGTCCATTAACTGATAAATGGATAAATAAAATGTGGTCTCTCCATACAATGGGATATTATTCAGACATTAAAAAGGAATGAAGTACTGATATAAGTTACAACATGGATAAGCCTTTAAAAAATTAGACTAAGTGCCTGGTAGGTGTGGTTCAGTGGTTGAGTATCTACCCATGCACCAAGAGGCTGCCAGTTCGATTCCTGGTCAGGGCACATGCCCAGGTTGTGGACCCAATCCCCAGTTGGGGTC